AAAAGTCGACGAGCGACCCGGTCATAAGGCAGTGTGCGGCTTCGACAGCACCCACGGCCGCAAACGACCAGCACGACCCGCAGCTACCTTGGTTGCGCACGGGCGACATGCACTTGTTGGTTGTCCAGTCGACGCCCGCCGCCTCTTGCTGGGCCTGCGTCAGCGTGAGCTGGATGTTGTCGCCGCGCAGCTGGCGCTTGGGCGTCTCGTGCTTGAACGAGCCCTTGACAAAGGCCGCAAACTCGTCTTCGGTCATGAGCGCAAACTGGTTGTCGGTCGAAAAGACGGCACCGCTGTGCTGCTTGTTGAGGTCATCGACGATCTTTTGGGTCGTCGCGAACCGGACGAGTTCGTCGTCGATGTCGCCGTCTTCGAGGTTGCCATTCTCCGTCTTGGGCGGGAGAAAGCCGTTGGCTTCGGCTTGCTTGCCGGCTTGACTGGCCTTCCACGCCGCGAGCTTGGCTTCGAGGTCGACTTTTCTTGAGCCGAGAGACGCAGGCCTTGGACGGCCGACGCAGCGAGGAGGAGGCACGCGATCGACTTCATTGTGTGATGTGGTCGAGGGAAATTGGAAAATGAAAACACGATGCCAGTACGAACTGCGCCATCGGCGTGGCATGCGACGAGTGCAGTGTTCGATTCCAAGAGCAGAGACTCTGTAGAAAAGGCTCTTTCTGAGTCCACCGAGTTGCGTCTGTGAGTTGGTGGTCATATCCTGTGAGGCAAAGCCGTCAGGTGGTATTGTCGCCTGCATGAGGATTCCTCGAAGTGCTGAGGACGCATAGTACTACAAATTCTTTTGATTATATTCGACTAGAAACTTGGCTAACGTTACCGTCGCATGCGGCTGCTTGTGACTTTGAAATTGCACTTCTATGACCAGATATACTCTCTCTTGCATTTCACGCTGCCACGTCATCGTGCCTCGTCCAGCCTGTACCATTGGCGTTGTTGCCATGCGTGCTCTCGTACCGTTGTAATGACATGATTGTTTGCATGGAGCTGCGATAGCAAAGACCAATGTGGCTTCAGCTCGATTGAAACCCACATGAACCATGTTGGATGTTCTTATTGGTGTATGCAATTGGCAACGGTCGGACTCGAATGCGTTGGCAACTTTGCGGTAGCAAACACATGTCGGTGGAATCGGACCGCAAAACGGACGGAGACAAGGAATGGAAGACCGTTGTGCCCTTTTGTTATAGCATTGTGGTGTATGGAGCGCAAGATTTGACATTGCTGTTGGCGCCACCAAGCGACGCGTTTCGAACGTGCTGTAATGAAAAGGGCGCGGCTTCAATGCCACTTTGCCAACACCTGGCGTGCATCCACCGGTGTCCGGATTTCAGATGCGGCGGCCTTTTGTCCCTGCAGGTCTGGGTTGCTACAGGCCACTGGCTACAGGCACTGTCAAGCTGGCACTTGGACAGCGAGGCACAAAGCAGAGGAAAGAAGCAAAGAGGAAGAAGAGGCAAATGTGCTCGACGCCCTGCCCTCAAGATCCAACTCATATACGAGCTCGAGCAAGCGCAACGCCTCTCGAAGCATCATACAAAGCCCAGATATGCTTTGGAATCCATTCATTGGTTTGAAACGGAGAGGATTGCACTCCACGCGATAGAGGGTGCTTATCCTGCGTTACTGGTGCACTACTGCATGGGCTAAACAGACCCGACGGCTTGCACTCCTCTATGGGGTGGTCTGAGTACAGGAGCCTGCGCGCGACCTCGCGCGAGCTATCCCTCGGCGAGTGGGGTCCACCACGGGATGGATCTCTCCGTACGCATCTCACTCCCAACGACCAAGTGCTGGTGCCAACTCCCACGCATTCAGGCGTAGCACTACGTATGCGAACTCGTTGTAAGGAAGATAACGCGGGACACGTTGATATATATGTATACTGCTGGGTGCCCTGGCAGCCTTGATGCACGCGCTGCAGCACGAGATCAATGTTGCCGATATCGTTCATGTGCGCTGGCAATGCCAAGCCTTGGGGATCGCCAAGAGATCGCGAGTGTCGAGGTGCAGCGCTGCGTCGAATTCACCCGCGACGTTGTCCAACAGCAGCGACCTTTCGCTATTAAATCTACCGCTGTCTCTGCGTTGCCTCCTCGTCCACTTGCATCAACAGCACGCATTTGGCGCCGACGTAAACGTAACCGAAGCCTCAGCCACCACAGGAAGCAACGACCACGACGATCGGTATCACCCACTCGCAAACGAACAAGGGTGGAGCGTTGTCGAGCATCAGCAGCGAGCTTCGGTGAAGCGTATCAATGTCGCGCCTCAAGGTAGCATTGGATTGCTTTTTTGACTGGTGCGGCCGCCGTTTCTGGCGTCGTCGCGGTCAATTGCCCGACGCACGCCAAGCGCCAGCTCCCATTCGCCTCGATCGCTTTGGTTGGAACATCGATGATGACAATGTTGTCAGTAAGGTCCACAACGTGCTAGCGGGTACGTCCTCGTCCAAATAGGCGTTGAAGAGCTCGACCGAGACGCCCGAGAGGACCACAAAGACGCTGACGACACGAAGATACTCGCTTGCACATTGTACATGTACCTCGATGTGTTGACGGCAATTATGTCCACTTGGTTTGGTAACTGGACGATCGCGCTCGCACGTGAGCGATGACAGTGGCCCGAATGGAGGATATAAAGACGGAGGTGGAGACGTTAGCCAATCACCATCTCGTCTTCAAGCTGCAAAGATCCAAGCGAAGGGTCAAACGATGCAGCGAGCTGTGCTAGTACTGCTGCTCATGGTGCTACTTGTGGCCTGCGTTCTGGAGGCCAAGACCATCGATTATGACGCTCTCGAGAGACAATGGGAGAAGGGCGACATGGACGAAGAGCTGCTCTCGGACGAAGCTCTCGCCGCCAAACAGTACGCTGCATTCGATATGTCAATGTCGCCAGCTAAGGGTTTGGCGACAGGAACCGGAAGCAAGAGCTCGAAAAGTCCGAGATGGTCTTCGTCACACTTCAGCCGTCGGAGCTCACGGCCTATGCGGCGGCGCACCCCGACTATGAGAAGCCGCTCTCGGAGCTGTGTGCGCTCTGGAAAAGCGTACGCTGGGGACAATATCTTGCACCAATAAACTCTAGCGCGTAGATGCTACTCAACGGCGGCCTCGACGTTAATTTTTACGAGCTCGAGGGTGCCAAGGTGCTTGCGGGGCTGCAGAAAGGATCGCGGGTGCAGGAGCTCCACGCCTTCCTCTTTGAGCAGCCTCAAGTCGCTGAAATCCAATGGAACCAAGAGACGTTGTATCCTCCGAGCGGCAAAAGCCACAAGCCACAAAAAGCCAGAAAAGCCAAAAAGGCTAGAAAGGTCAAGTCGACGCACCCCAAGACCGAGCTGTAGCCTTCATGATTGAGCGTTGCGGCGAGCTGCTTTGATCAATATCGATGTTGCATGTTTGACAGGTCATGCAACTAGACTACTCGTTTACTCTGTTGTTAAGGTGTAGTAAGGCATGGGCCAAGGTGCGATGATGCAAGGGTATATCCTTATATACCCTTGGATGATGCTGTGGTGAACCATCGTCGCGGATGCCAATCGTATTTCTTGATTGGTTCAAAAATATAAAAATTGCGCGCGTTGATTGGATGAATACAAACAAATGCTACATCATGAGCCAATCTCTGGTCTTGTATTCATGGATTGGCTAAAATGCCCCAACCCTGTCACAAACGAATTCGGCGATTGTGACGAGATGATGAGCCAGCCCCGCATCCTGCTTCTTGGCGACTCGATCACGCAGCAAGCGTCCGACCCCGCGATCGGCGGCTTCCAGACGCTTCTTGAGGCCGACTACATTCGCCGCGCAGACATCATCAACCGCGGCCTCAGTGGCTACAACACGAGGTACGCCCTGTCCTTTCCGACTCTGCATTTCCAACACAAAGCATGATGCTGCCCACTACTGTAGATGGTTCTTGGACTATTTGCCGCAGATTGTGGCAGAGCTCACGAATCAGCGCGCGCCGTCGCTCATCACGCTCTTCCTCGGCGCCAACGACGCGGATCTGCCGTCGGGCACCCAGCACGTCCCTCTCGCCCAATACGAGGCCAACACCAAGACAATTATCACGGCGCTGCGCGCCGCTTTCCCCGACGCCGCGTTCATCTTGCTGACGCCGCCGCCCATTGGCGACAACGAACTCTACGGGCGCAACAATGTGACCGCGGGCAACTACGCAGCAGCGTGTGTGCGCGCCGCCACGGCGCTGGGTGTCGCCGCCATCGATCTCTGGACGTCCATGCAATCAGAGCGCGAGAGCTACCTCAGCGACGGGCTGCATCTCAATGCCAAGGGCAACCGGTTCGTGTACGAGGCGCTAACGGCTACGATTGCAGCGCAGCTCCCGGCACTCCAGCCAAACGCGATCCCATTCTTGTATCCCGAGTGGACGGCGCTCGTCGAGAAGGACATCGATGCGACCAAAGAGGCGTAAGCTTTTCGCACCAATTTGGTCATCAACTACAGCAAAAAGGGCCAGTAGAATAAGATCTCGTTGGTGTTGCTGAAAGAGGCTGTCATATCTCTATTTGTCTTCAACTTAAGGCACGTCGCTCGGGCATTTCAATACCCACACACATGCGAATTACACGTGGCGATGGGAGTCGCCGCGTTCACGTAGTATCACTCGCCACCAAGTCTCGAGACAGCAGGAACGGATGCTTTTGCATTTGCCCACGGACTACGCGCAAATGGTTGCGGACTACAAGGTAGCTCACCCCACGACATTCGCCCGCTGCGCTCGAGTCTACCAAGCTGGCCTTTCCCGCCGAACGCATTCGACGCCACTTGAAAAGAGCCAGCGAGCCGCTCGTTGTCCTCTCGGATGTGTCGGCCGAGCTCATCAACCCCTATTTTGAAAATTACGTCAAAGCCAAATACGTGCTCGTGATGCAAATGGATGAGGCGGCAACGCCGTTGCAGGGCCGTCTCTTTGAGATCTCGCAGGTCGGCGATCTGCCGCCCGCGGCCTGCAAAGGGCCTTCGATATGTCCATAACCATGGTGTGAAGTCGCGATAGTTTAACTGCGACTGTTTTGAGTTTTGACATGGCTGCAAACAGTTAAAAATCAAGTAATTTCGTAAATTGCTCTACAATACCGCTTCGCAACATCACAGCTCCACCTTGACACGTACATGCTCTTGGTGTTTCCCCATGGCCTGGCATTACCAGCTCACATGAACGATACTTGCAATATCGACCTCGTTGATGTGCTGCATCGCGTGCATCGAGGCTGCCGGTTGCCCATGTAGTAGTCGCATTCACACAGGTGACACAGATTGAAGAGCCTGTATCACACGGAGTGCAATTCTCTACGCCTCACACCTCCAACTCGATTACATCGTCATTCCGTCATCAGTGGAAAAATGCACCTCTGTATTGTTGCATGTGCCCAATCCGGCAGGCAGGACCAAAGACGACTGGAATACAGACGCTGAAATCGTGCTGCATAGTACCAGGTGTTGGTAGTGGTATCGAATCTTTTTGATTATAGCACATTCGGAACGCGTGGCTTGGAGGTGCCAACAGCAATATAAGGTCACCATACACAATGCTAAAAAGGCACAACACGCTTCCATTCCTTGTCTCCGTCCGTTTTGCGGTCCGATTCCACCGACATGTGTTTGCTACCGCAAAGCTCCCAACGTATTCGGGTCTGATCGTCCTGCAGCAACAAGCACCCGTCATTGCTAATGCCAGCATCCAGAGATGTTGAATTGCGTTTGGAAAAAAACAATGTCACAATGGTCTTTGCTATCGTTGCTCCATGCAAACAATCATGTCATTACAACGGTACGAGAGCACGCATGGCAACAACGCCAATGGTACAGGCTGGACGAGGCACGATGACGTGGCAGCGTGAAATGCAAGAGAGAGTATATCTGGTCATAGAAGTGCAATTTCAAAGTCACAAGCAGCCGCATGCGACGGTAACGTTAGCCAAGTTTCTAGTCGAATATAATCAAAAGAATTTGTAGTACAATGCGTCCTCAGCACTTCGAGGAATCCTCATGCAGGCGACAATACCACCTGACGGCTTTGCCTCACAGGATATGACCACCAACTCAGATACGCAACTCGGTGGACTCAGAAAGAGCCTTTTCTACAGAGTCTCTGCTCTTGGAATCGAACACTGCACTCGTCGCATGCCATGCCGATGGCGCAGTTCGTACTGGCATCGTGTTTTCATTTTCCAATTTCCCTCGACCACCTCACACCATCACAATGAAGTCGATCGCTTGCCTCCTTCTCGCTGCGTCGGCCGTCCAAGGCCTGCGTCTCTCGGCTCAAGAAAAAGTCGACCTCGAAGCCAAGCTCGCGGCGTGGAAGGCCAGTCAAGCCGGCAAGCAAGCCGAAGCCAACGGCTTTCTTCCGCCCAAGACGGAGAACGGCAACCTCGAAGACGGAGACATCGACGACGAGCTCGTCCGGTTCGCGACGACCCAAAAGATCGTCGATGACCTCAACAAGCAGCACAGCGGCGCCGTGTTCTCGACCGACAACCAGTTTGCGCTCATGACCGAAGACGAGTTTGCAGCATTTGTCAAGGGCTCGTTCAAGCACGAGGCGCCCTCGAAACACAATCCGGGTTGAACAACGTCCAGCTCACGCTGACGCAAGCCCAGCAAGAGGCGACGGGCGTCGACTGGTCGACCAACAAGTGCATGTCGCCCGTGCGCAGCCAAGGTAGCTGCGGGTCGTGCTGGTCGTTTGCGGCCGTGGGTGCTGTCGAAACCGCACACTGCCTAATGACTGGGTCGCTCGTCGACTTTTCCGAGCAGCAACTCGTGAGCTGTGCCTCGAGCGCAGGCCGCGGCTGCGAGGGCGGCTGGCCTAACAAGGCGCTCGACTACATTACGCAGACGGGTTTGTGTACCGAGTCGGGTTTTCCGTACGCCTCGGGCAGCTCCAACCAGAACGGCCAGTGCAAGGATTGCCAGAAAACCAAGGTCAACGTCGGCAAGACCGTCGACATCCAAGGCGAGAGTGCGCTCCAGAGCGCGCTCGACAAGCAGCCCGTCACGGTCGTCGTCGAGGCCGGTAACAACGTGTGGCGCAACTACAAGAGCGGCGTCGTGCAGAGCTGCCCGGGTGGGCAGTCGAACCACGCGGTGATTGCTGTCGGCTATGGCACCAAGGACGGTCAGCAGCACTTTAAGATCAAGAACTCGTGGGGCACGGGCTGGGGCGAGCAAGGCTACATGTACCTCAAGCGCGGTGTGAGCGGCAAGGGCATGTGCAACGTGGCCGAAATGCCGGCGTACTCGCCCATGAACGGCAAGCAGCAACCTACATCTCACAAACCAAAGAAGTCCCACGGCGACTGCAACGGCTGCAACGGTTGCTACTACCCCGCCACGTCGCAGTGCTTGACGGCCGACTACGACCAGGAATACTGCCAGAGCCTCGCCGCCGATTTTGGCACCAAGTGGTGCACGGCGTAACTTCCCAAGCTCGTCGTCTTGTTTGTGTGTGAAATATCTTGTTTCAATTCATATACCTGTGTCGTGAAGCTCCGGACTCGCTGGGGTCCGCGGGCTGCACGCGTGTGCTTGAATGTGAAAAGGGTTGTGATTATCTGAGTTACCAGGCTTGACTATGGTGAGCGGCCGCGCTGATTGGTCGGTTGGACTGACTGTGTGTGTCTTGCAGGGAACCGGGGCAGTCTTGGGTGTGCGGACCTTTGCTGGCAGACTGGACCGTGACCGGGTATCTGTGCCCCGGGGCCTCGGAGTTCTTGCTCGCCCGGCGTCGTTGTCGCATGCTTCGTACCCCGGGGCATGATGCGAGCGCGTTCTTCGATCCGTTCGCGGACTCTCACGACATTGCCCACGGCGGCCGTTTGGGGGCCGTCGGAGAAGTGGGAGTTGCTCGGGTTCGGACGCGATCGCGTGGCAAATGCCGGCAGCGCGCCAATGGTACGCACACCGACCTTGTCCGTCCCGAGGCACCGCTGCGTCCGGCCATGGCCTGCGAGGTTCAACCTCGTCGCGGCCTGCCGTGCAAGAACGAGTACGGCACTTGCCCAAGCCATGGCAAGTGGCGCGACGCCGAGCTCTGACCGTAGCTGGCCTAGTAACTTCATTCGTCGGCCTACTCCGCCGAAGCGGCTAGGCCGTCACGCAAGTCGTCGAGATAGACTTGCGTGACTTCGTCAACATGGTTTACCTTGCTGACGAACCGTGTAATCATGTCTTCGGGCACTTCTTGCTCGCTCACGCGACGTTGGACGCCGTCATCGCATCGGACACGCCATCTTTGCTCGCGGGTGCTGCGTGGATGGTGTTGGAGGACTTCGACGTTGCTTGCTGCGACGACGACCATCCCCGCGTCCGCCTCCTCAATTTCGGTCGGGCTTGGGTCCTGCCCGGCTCCCGACGGAGCGAGCTGGAGGGTGATCTCGTCGCGCAGTGAGATCATGGACACGCCGTGCGTCAGCACGAAATCCATGCCCAGGATGCCATCGTGGGTGAGTCCTGGACAAACCACGAACGGCTGCACGAACGTCGACTGGCCGAGTTGGATCGTGACGAGGCATTGGCCGAGCACGGCGAGATGGCCACCGCCAACGCCCTTGACGGTCTAAGTGCTGGTGACCCGAGTAGCCAGTGATGATTCTCGCTGAGCAGCGAGACCATCGCGCCGGTGTCGAAGAGCAGCTTGGACGGCTCGCCATCGCACACCGCCGGTACGAGCAGTTGTGGGTATCCGGACTCGACGAGTTCGCACCGCTCAAAGTGCACGCGATGGACTTCGAGATCACCAGGCGCAATCGTGTGGACCGTCGGCGCACCGGACTCGACATCTGCTGCGCGCCATCGTCGATAATGGTGCTGCCACTTTCCGGCGTCGCGTCCCACCGCTGACCAATCCGGGTACGCGATGACGGCGCGTCCTGGCCGCCGACCCATCGTGTCCGCAGTACTCATGTCGTCGACCTCTTGGACGTTGCCCACGTTGTCGATCTCTTCCGGTGTGAGTGCGGTGACGAGCGTCTGGAGGATGTCATCTCCGGCCCACTGTGATGGAACCCCTTCCGGATCCTTCGACGGCGAGACGGCATCGTCCTCCCGGCTCGCCGCGGCCGGCACCGCGACCGGGGTTGGCTCCTCTTTGCTGCACTCCTCGGACCGTGTTTCCGAGAGTGGTGTGCGCCCTTCGTCGTCCTCGTCACGCGCTGTAGCAAGCGCCGCATCCGTGGACGGGTTTCTTCCTTCGTTGTGCCCGGTGCGCGCAGTGGCTAGCGCCGCATCCGAGGACTGTCTTCTGTCGTGTTGGTGCGTGGTGACGCTGTTGTTCACCCACGCATCTTCTGCTCCCATTGGGTTGAGCGGCTCGCTCGTCCCTTGCGCCCCTCGCCCTTGCGTCGTCCGGTTTTCTCCTTCTGCTGCGTCGTGGAGAAGGGCTGGTCGCAAACGCGTGGGGCTCAACTTTATTTTCATTTTGACGTCACTAGTGGTCGTGCTGGCCACTGGCTGGTCATGAGCTCCCGTATCCTTCTTGACCGCTGCCTTCGCTCGTAGGCGCGGTCTTCCCGAAAACCGGCGCCGGCGACGGGGTAGTGGCTTCCGAGAGGTGACGTGCCAGCCGTGTTGTCCGCGGGCTGCGCCGCCTGGGCCCGCATCATGGCCTCGGCATATCGGCGCGCGTTCTTGAGGACGTTGCAATCATCCGACGTGTGCCCAATGTGCGCACCGTGAAAATCACACGACGCGAGGTGCTGGGCTTGTGGGCAGTTGCTGCGGTAGTGTCCGGGTTCGCCGTACACGTGACAGCCTTGCACCGTGCGACCGGGAGCGGACGGCGCGGGCGTCGCGGACGCGGGGAATGGCGTGGGAGCTGCTGCCGGCATCACGTTCCCGTGCGACGGCGGTCCACCAGTCCGCGCGGCGTTGACTTGGAGGCTCACGTCCATCGGTGCTGTCGCCTGGGCGACGCGGTACGCCTTGGCCCGCTTAGTCTTGGTCTTCCGTGCGTGCGCGTCGGCCGACGCCATGAGCCGCTTGGCCTTGGGCTCGAACTCGTCCCACGACAACGAGTCTTCGCTGATCTGCCACAGAGCGGCGTGGAGCTGTCGGTCGACAACGCCTTGTACCACGATCCGGATCTTGCGCTCTTCGTCCAGTTGTTGGCCAGCCACGGCGGCCCATAGCGCCACCCGCATGACGTACTCGGTGAAGCGCTCGCCGTCCTTCTGCGTGACCTTCTCGTACATGGACTCGCGGTACGTCTTGTCACCGATGTACTCCGTGTAGAACTCGTCGACGAGCGTGTCCCAGTCCTTCTCAGTCATCGTCGCTGGGACGAACTTCTTCGTGCTCATGAGGTGGTACACCCACGCACTTTCTTTCGAGCCGAGTGCGTCGGTAAACATCGCCACGCGCATGGAAACTGAGCCGTCACCGTGGAGAGCCTTGCCTTCGACGTTCCGGACGTGAACGGCAGGGGCGAGTTTGTCGTCTTCATTGTGGACGAACGTCGGCACCTTCGAGAGACGAAAGGCTGCAAGGCTGGACTTGGGGCTTGTCGGGCTCGTGGTCTTTTGGACGGTGGGGGTGTCCACCACCCGTCCAAAAGACCACGAGCCCGACACGGGGGTTCTCCGACCAATGTCGTGAAGCTCCGGACTCGCTGGGGTCCGCGGGCTGCACGCGTGTGCCTGAATGTGAAAAGGGTTGTGATTATCTGAGTTACTAGGCTTGACTATGGTGAGCGGCCGCGCTGATTGGTCGGTTGGACTTTTCACAATGGCGAGCTTGCTCAGGGGGCAAAGGGCGTAATGCCTTCATTACTGCCAGGACCTCGGGTGAGGTGAGGCGGGTTGCTTAGTAGGCGTCTAAATCTAGAACGCTAGCTCTACGACGGCTCGCAAGTCACGCCCCTTCGTGAAAAGATCGTTTCGACTTGCTGCGCGCGCAAAACACCCATTTCACAATGGCGAGCTTGCTCAGGGGGCAAAGGGCGTAATGCCTTCATTACTGCCAGGACCTCGGGTGAGGTGAGGCGGTTCCCCCAAAGGCAATGCGGCCGGCCAGCTGAGCGATTTCGACGTCGTCGATGTGTGCGTACGACTTGAACGCGTCGCTGCGCCATCGGCCAAACTTCTGGATGGCCAGATCCGTCGCGCCGCCCTTGAAGAGTGCGGTCGCTCCACCACTTCGCAATGAGTGGGTGGAGTAAGCTGACGGGTCCTTGTCCATCCTTCTCGCCGTGTCGCGTAAGAGTGCCTTGACTTGGCTCTCGTTGATCGCGACTCGTGTTCCGTCCGGCGCGAGCGTGGTGCAGAGCGATTCGTCGGCCTTGGCCCCAGCGGCGATCGCAATGCGCCGCAGCTCCCAAATCGCTGGGATGGGGCAGAGCCAAAAGCTACCGGACCGGGACAACCGCAAGGTCACACCGCCGCGCCGCTGGTCCGTCTTCGAGCTCGTCAGCTTGATGTGGACCTCGTGCACTTGATCTTCGGACGTCGCTACCTCTTCCCATGCCGTCGTGAAGCGGATGTCTCTCACGCAGAGACCGTGCTTCGCGGGCTTGGATCCTTCGTGGAGGTACTCGGACTTCCGCCAGAGAAAGAAGAAGCCCAGGAGCGTAGCCCCCCAGAGTGAGCGCTGCTGGGGGTCGTCGAAGTCGAGTCCGGCACGCAAATGCCAGAGCATTGCAGCTGTGACGGGCTCTATCGTCGGGTGGCTCCGTCGTCCCGTTCCATCCCGCGGAGGACTAGCCGATGGTCGGGTGCCAGCGCCACAGTGTACCCACCGTGTCGCTGATGACGCCAAGCGATGCCGCATAGTTTGGATCGGATGGTGGCAGCGGAGTTGCCGCCGTCGCGGAGGTGCAAGACGTACTCGACAAGTTCGTCGTCTGCTCGCGTTCCTCCTTGGAGAGCCATGGTGACTGTCGGCGATGCTCGCGCCACGTGCGCCACTGTTCCCACGCGGCCTTGTAGCGGTCGTGTGTGCTTGAGGCCAGAGCGGCGTCTTGAAAAACGTCGGACGTCGGCTTGTACATGTACCGAATGTTTGCTGGCACTGGGCACGCTTCCCACCCGTGAGAGAGCTGGAGCCATCGCGATTTGAACGGCTCGACGAGGCTGCGTGACCCGCAATCGGCCATTTCGTTCCGTGCTCCGGCCATGTGGCCCGCCGTGACGTACAGACGATTGACTGCTTGGGCGAGCGCTAGATGGCGGTTGAGCTCTTGAGCGTAGACGTTGGACGCTGCGAGCTTGTTTGCCCATGACACACTGGGCGCGTTGTCGATCCACGCGTGTACGTGGAGAGTGCCTTTGTCGAGAGTTGACCACGCTCGGTGTAAACGTCTTGAATGGCGTCGCCTTGACGGCCACGCTGTGTAGCCGTTGGTAGAACGCTCTGGCTGCTGGGGCGCATGAGCAAACGTGTCTGAGCGACCCCAGCACCTGCAGCAGGGTAGTTTTTGTAGCTCGGCCTCGGATGAGCAAGGCGTCGACGCGCGCCTACTAGGCGCGTGCAATCTTGTCCTCTGGTATCGACACCGTCGCTTCGTTCAAGTGCCAAATGAGACCCAAAGCGTGGAGGTTGGACGTCCACTCCTTGAACTTGCTCTCGTTGATGCTTGTCGGCCCGAGTACCGCCATCATGCCTAGACGTAGCGCGGTTTCCGCCGCCGTTGCTCGAGCTGGGACCGTCTTTGAAGCGGGCTGTGTGACAAGCTCGATGAGAATATGATCGTTCGTCCATTCGAGCGCTCAAAATGGCTCCGTGTCGGTTGATCGTGTAGGATTGAGCGAGCTGGGTGATTCCCGAGATACCAAAAAGGAGATCGCTCGACCAAACACGACGTAGAACGGTGGGCTGCCGCAACAACCAAAAGGACCCGAGAGATCGAGGCCCCAATGGCTGGATCCGGGAACTCTGGCTCCAAGCCATTTGGCGTCGCAAGCTGCGACCCGTAGATGTCGAAACGCGCTCTTGACGTCGCCTGCCATCTCCATGATCCTCGTGCTCGCGGTTAGCCGCTTGTGCAACCCGATGATACGTGACGCGACTGCCGAGATTCGACGCCAACGCACGTCCGGGAGCAAGTCTTTGTTCGTGAGATCGTTGACCGCCGTTTTGTCCGGTGCTGAAAGGTCGTAAATGACGCGTCCATCGACATCAAGGCTCGCGTTGTTCTTCGGTACAAGGCCGAGCGGGCTGAGCCTGATGTCGTGGCCGGCGTGTGTCCATTGGGCGAGAACCGCGTCGGTGAAGAACGCATACTTGTTGCGCGCTTGGCCTTCCGCCAGGTGACGGCGTACTGTGCGGCTATGCCGTTCCGCCGAGTTGTGGTTCTTCGGATGCGCCGGCTTGGACCGGGTCGGGATCGTGAATCCGGCTGATTCTACAGCGATGAGCGTGTCGCAGTGCGAGTAACCGTGGAGCAACCGGGCCAGCTCCTCTGGGAAGAGCGCCTTGTTCGGTCGCGGATCCTTGGGGCACTGACCGCGGAGAAGCATGACGGTGTCTTCCGGCGTCAAATGTTTGAGAAGCACCAGCTGCGAGATTCGCTCGATCTTGGTCTCATCAAGGTCCGCGGCTGTCTCTATGTCCTTCTCGTGTGACGCTTCTGGAGGCTGTTGCAGACGTGCTTCCATGAGCACAATGTTGAGCCGTACTTGTGCGATTTTGGTGTGGAGCTCAAGTCTGTTGCGTAGGTGGCTCTGGAGCTGCGCCGCAAACACCAAGTCAACTGCCAGAGGCGTCCTCACGTGACCCGCCAGAAGCCGTTTGCGTGCCGCCATGGATGCCACACGGGAGCGAAGTTGCTGCTCACGCGTAAGCGCTGCCTGCGACGGTTGCGAAGCGTTCTGGTGCGGATGCCCCGCGTTCCAGTGCTCGCCGTCGCAGTGCGGTCAAAGTCGACATTCTCACCCGTCGACGTTGAGTGTGACGCTGTAATGGCGTTCCGGTGCGGTAGAACCAGCGTTCCGGTGCTTACAGTCGAGCTGCGACCCCCGGCGGCGTGCTCATACGCCGATGGAGCCGCAGCAGAGCGCACGTCGAGTAGGCGGTTGAGCGGTCCGGTGCGGGAGAACCAGCGTTCCGGTGCTTGCCATCTCGACGTGGCCAGAGTCGACGTTCTCGGCCGTCGACGACGCGTGGGATGACGCCTGTGCGTCCCGGTGCGGTAAAACCAGCGTTCCGGTGCGTGTGTGGGCGTGTTGTCCTGTGCGTAGGGTTTCTCTTGTACGCGCTGGCGGCGTAGTAAGCCGGCGCGTGACAGTACCCTTGTATGCCGTGGCCGAGTGTTGTGCCTTGGCGTCACCACGCTGCGGCCCAAAGTCGCCGGGTCTTGGCGTGGCCGGTGGTGGCTGGGGGGGAATCGGGTGCGGTATCGTCGCATGGGGAATGGTCTCGCCAGGTGGGTTTCCCTGCCCACCCCGGCGCCTTCATGCCGACGCATCCAGGTGCTTGAACTTGGGGTTGAAACCACCGAGCGCCTTCTTGACGTATGCGATGACCTCCGGCTTCAAGGCCTCCGTTGGCAGGAAATGAGCGCGCGTGATCCCGTAACGCGGTTTCTTGCACGTGTCCTTCCCTTTGCACTTCTGGCTCGAGACGTATTTGAGGCACAGCGGGACCCCGTCCTTCTTTGGCGCCAGACCCGCCATCGACACTGGAGCGTCACCACCCTTTTTGTTTGCGCCGGGTGGAGCAGGTTTTGGCGCGACTTCTCCGGTTTCTGTGGCTTGCCCTCCGAGCGATGGGATCGACGTCATCACCGTCGCCAATTGCCGTCGGTACGCGCTCGCGAGCCGGGTATGGAGCGTGCGCGAGTCGGCGTCGAAAAGGTGCCGAGTCCGTACATGTCGAGCCGTGGCCGCGTTGTCATACAAATCGTCGGATAAGTCCGAGTGCAGTTGTGCAAACACCGAGTTGAACCACTGCGCAACGACTGCAGCGTACGGCGCCACGAGAAGCTTTCGACCCGACAAAATGCGCAGCGCCGACCATCCTTCTTGTAGGAACGCGACGACGAAGGGTCGACAAAACTTGGATGCATAGATGGTGAGCATCTCAAGTGATGCAGCCAATGCAGCGCCAACGGAGCCGTTCGCGACGGCTGTTGGAAGGGTCGCGGTCAACGAGTAATCTTGCATGATGCTCCCGTTGGCCTCGCACCAGTCCGAAATCTCGTCGTCATCGCGCGGTTGGAAATGCAATAGCGAGAGGCGTCCCGGGCCAAAGTCAAAACTGAAGAGAGCTCGCAGCACCGCCGGGTACTGGAAGAAGCGGAGGTTCTGGTTCTGGCGTACTCGGTGCATAAACTGCGTAGGGTAAGCTTAAACTCCGTTCGCGGACGCTTGGCCGGGCCAGCGTCGCCGAGACCGGCGAGACGGCGCGCGTTGGCGAGAGCAGAGTCCGTCTCCGCGTCATCTGCTGGACCCATCTCGACCCCCGAGGGCCGTAGTGTCGTGAGAGCTGACCGCCACGCCAGAATTGCGTCTGTGGACCGGCTGGCGACGAGTCCGACGGGTGAGGAGTCCGCACGACGATGTCTTCGGACCGCTGGTCGCCGTTTTCCCAATACACACCGCTGGGTCGTCGTCGCTCATTGCGTCCTCCGAGTCGCTTGACCCGGGATGGTCGCTTTCGGGGTCTTCCCAGTACTGGTCGCCCACCGAGCCATCTTCGGGCGCCTTGTGTCCTTCGACAGAGTAGAAGAGGTGGTCGACCACGTGCTGCGCCGACACCCGTGTCTTTTCCGTCGGGCATGAGCTTCGCCAGGATGACGGCCAAGTCGCGCGACCCTTCAGCTGGGTCCGTGATGCGCTTCTCGATAAGGGCATGGATGCGCCGAGCGCGCTTCATCTGTTCTTGGCTTCCTCTGGCGGCGTGAGGGACACGTCGAACTCCCAGAGGAGAATTGCGACGACCGGGCTAATGCTTTCGACCGCTTCGGCTGGAACCTGCACGCGTTGGTGGGCACACACCACCGTGAACATCTCGTCCTCGACGTGAACCGCTTGCACTTGGCCGGTAAAAGAACGACCTTCATGCGCGAGAAAGACGAACTGGCGCAGCCAGAGACCGAGAGGGGCTGTCGTTGCCTTCTTCGCCGTCACGATCTGGAGCTTGCAGTCGTTCTTCGGGACCTCGAACTCCACCGCCGGAGCGGCCTCCGTCGCGATCGTTCGGCACTTCAGCGTCTTCTGACCGCGCGGGCCTTCGATCGCCGTGACCCGAGCATAAACTGGGCAGCGTACTTGCGTCCCAGGGACTTGCTCAGGAAGGACATAGGAATACGTCTTGTCCTTGTACGTTGGCACCGCCATGAGTACTGCTTGCTTAGTAGGCGTCTAAATCTAGAACGCTAGCTCTACGACGGCTCGCAAGTCACGCCCCTTCGTGAAAAGATCGTTTCGACTTGCTGCGCGCGCAAAACACCCAGACTGTGTGTGTCTTGCAGGGAACCGGGGCAGTCTTGGGTGTGCGGACCTTGCTGGCAGACTGGACCGTGACCGGGTATCTGTGCCCCGGGGCCTCCGAGTTCTTGCTTGCCCGGCGTCGTTGTCGCATGCTTCGTACCCCGGGGCATGATGCGAGCGCGTTCTTCGATCCGTTCGCGGACTCTCACGACACCTGTACGAGAATCAATCATGTATACTTGGCGCCTCAACATCCATACGACCAAGGACATATATGTACTAGCGTTGGGTTGTATGCACATGGTACGAGGCAAGTAATCGGACACTTTAGCATAGCAGCGCACAAAGTCGGGCAGCGTTGAGTTCTTGAAGAGAAAACGAGCATCGTCTGCGGCATCCCGCCAAAACGAGGCCGGTTTGGCCTGCGCCATGTTATCAAAAGACTGACATACACGATTGGCGTTTCAGTCCGCGACGTGTGGTGGCCGGTACCTGAGCTTTATCACGACGGTCGTCGCCTGAGCGTACAAGGAATGCGTCACTTGCAGCGCAGACGCTTCAAGAGCATCTGCTTGGACACAAGGGAGATTCTTGCCTGTCTGATGTACTTGTACTTGTGTACTACTACAGATGCAACGATCATTTGACCCAGGAATAGCACCACAAGGTAAAATGGTGGTGCTTCGAGTGCCTCTTGCGGCGGTGGTGACGCTGCAGACAACTTGGGCGTCTCAGTGCCCCAACGACTGCAGTCGCCACGGCCTCTGTCACTTTCAAGGCGTCTGTCAGTGCTCCCAGTCTTTTACGGGCGCTGACTGCTCGCTGCGTACGTTGACCTAAGACGACTCTAGTCAAGTGTCCGATGGGCTCGACATGGGCCGACTACCCGCAGTCGTCTGAGAATGCGCACAACCTCCCCGAGTGCGCCAACCGAGGTGTCTGCAACCGCGCAACAGGGCTCTCTGCGACTGCTCCCCGGGCTTTACCGGAGCTGCCTGCGACCGCAGTACGAAGCGTCGTCCAACGTGATTAGCGGTGTCCTATCTCAGCGCTAGTGGCTTGCAAATGCAACGACCGCGGCACGTGCCTCTCGATGAGCCAGCTCGCGACGACCAATGATCCAGGTCTTGGCACGGTGCACCCATACACGACGCCATGGGACGCCAACCAAATCTACGGCTGGTGGGCAATGCTGGTGCCTTGACGCTAACGACGGTCGGCGCGTCGCCCCGGCTGACCATTATCACGACGGTGCACGGCACAAAGGAATATGTCTACTGCTCCAACCGCGGTCTCTGCGACGGTAGGCCCGTCGATGATTCCTGTCAATCAATCAGACGACATGCGTAGGGCACGTGCAACTGCTTTCCCAACTATGTCTCGAGCGGCGGCTACGGCAACGTGGGTCGGCGCGGCGACTGCGGGGCCGTCGCGTTGGCTATCACGCAGTGTCCGGTAGATCGCAACTGCTGTGCTCAGTGTCGATGCGAGGGGTAGGGTAAAACCTTGGCCTGCAGTGGCCACGGTGTCTGCCAAGGCCCCCCGACGTTTGCGTGCATTTGTGCCAGCGGGTTCCAAGGCGGCGACTGCTCCGAGCGTACGGCATCCCTGTCTACCGTGCAATCCTTTTCTGAACCTGAATCTGAATCTGAAGTTGCATAGAGCAATGTCCGATGGGCACTTCTTGGTTTGATATACCAAGCAGCCCGAATGGTGCGCACCAACTCGCCGAGTGCTCAAATGCGGGGACGTGCGACCGAACGCGGGGCGTGTGCTTGTGCGACACGCGCTTCACGGGCGCCGCGTGCAATCGGCGTACGTTTTGAATTTTGCGACTTTTGCGCATTTTGCGACCTTTGCGCATTTTGCGACTTTTTTCTGATTTCAAGCTAGTCGAGTGCCCCAACGACTGCAGTGGCCATGGCACGTGCCTCACGATGCAAAACCTCGCACCGCTCACCAAGCTCAACGGCGACCCGCGGACGGCATTTACCTACGGGAGCATTCCCCAACAACAACCCGGTGCGTCCAACAAAAGTCTACAAAATGAGGACAATATTGTTGTTGATAGACGTGGGACTACAACCAAGTACAAGGCTGTGCATGCAACCCTGGCTACGAAGGTTTCGACTGCTCTAAATGTACATGCACTTCATCTTAAATCGTCATGTTGACATATTGGCCGACGGTGTCTAGTGTC